TCACTTTAGCTTCTGCAATATTCGGTATTTTGATGATTATTGAAGAAAAATGTTTCAATGTACGTATTTAAAGTTCCTACTAGGTACTACAGCCTGTGACAGAAAATTGGATATGCAGGTCCAGGTCTTCGTATACCTTCTATCTATCAGTATATTCGGTATTTTGATTATTTTTGCGACTCTTTGTATTCGGTATTTTTAAGATTTTAAATATTTTTTTTGACAATTTGAACCGAAAGGAGACGGCCAATATTGGTCATCTTCAAACTTAATTTAACCTTGAGAAAAATATTACCATTTACAAGTAAAAGTATTCTACCTATGTGTCTTCCATCCGCATGTAGATAAGAACTAATAAGAACATCTGGTGCTGTAGATAAGAACTGATAAGAACGCCTGGTGCCAAATAATGCCTAATGAAACATTTGCTGGCAAAAGTCGAAACACTACAAATGGTCACCTAATGTTTCTGCAAACAATTTATAGGATATCTCTCGATTTCGTATATCGATCTACGTGGGCATTATTGTGTCATCAAACACAACTATATCGACACTTTTAAATGTGCGTGCTGTTAATGACTTTTTCATAATTTGCATTTTCCAATATGTGGAGTTAAGCGGCAGACTACTCGCCTTGATGCAACTTCTTCACTCATGGCTGACATTCCATACCCACTTGAAATCACATCAAATGTCTCTTGACACAGGGACACACCACGAAACAGATATCAGTTGCAGATGCGAAAGCCGACGGAGACATACGACATTTGCAACAAAATGTAAATTTTCTCATTTGCCCTCAAGAACAACGACGGCAGCAACAGCTGGGCCTTCGGATGATGGCTCGCATCAGTCGATGTGGACGAGCTTTGCCGGAATGTGCACCGAGTCCATTAGGCAGCTGTCAGCAGGCACATCTCAAGTACGAGAAAATGTCGGATATGGTAATGCTCTGCTACATACAATGAAATCATCTTAAAGTCCTGCTTCGTCTCATTTAATATGCATAGAGATGTCACTCTGAAAAATCGATATCAAGTGCAGAAAATGTTGTAAATTCAGAGTGCAATGATAAATGGCCGACCTAATACTTGAAGCTGCTGAGGACATTCCAATCATAATTGCAGAATACTAAATAAGGGCAAAACTGAATTTGTGCTTCTTAAAATCCAGTCTCCTTGTATTCATAAGATGCATTCGCATCATCCGCATTTAAAAAGTGTCTAGTGGAAAAGTCCCTCAGAAAAGAGGGAGAGAGAGACAGGCCGGCAGATAGATTTTCTGCTACTTCCGCGATGTTAAAATTTTAACCAAAATCGCCATTTGAACGGTCGATTTTCATTCAATAAATGAAACATCGGAAAAATTGCTTTTCATTTCAGTAATTTTTCCACCAATTTTTAGGTTCATTGTTAAATTTTTCGAATCATTCATTTCATTTTTTTTTTTTTCAAAAGACCTGTACTATCCATTTCATCTCCGCATACACCCATTTCAATCGATAGTTTTGCCTAATGGACTTTTGTTTGATGGTGCTCAAGGGTCTCTTTCCGTTTATGATTCCATGTGTATCAATAATATTCGTTCGCAAAAAAAAACCAACAGATATGGCCATTGGGTGGCGTACGATGGATAGATGCACTTTGCATGTGTTCCCATTGTGGCTCACACAAATATCCATGATTGCAGCTGACATCCCATCACCCTGAGGTTCATTCACTGATTACGGATTAGAAGAAACCAAAGGAATTCAGTTTAGTTTTTCCAATTCGTGGAAACCCAAACAAAAAATGAATTGATATACATAGATTATAGTTTATTTCGAGTCCGGTCTCACATCGATATTGTAAAATCTGGCAATTCGTCCACACAACAGTTTGAGCTTTCATTGCATCCAGTTGCGAACCATTGCGAAGCGATGAAAACACTGAGAACAAGTGTCCATCTAGCACTTGTGCGGTACGTTCTCGCCAACGCCAACCCATACTTCGACTGGGTTGGAACACTGTTTATGAGTTAAGTTCAAAAATATATTCCATGTCACGACACACCCCCTTGTCGCCGTCGAACATAACGTAACAGGACGTAACCACGACGAACTCAAAGCAAAACCAACGTTGTTGACCAAATTTCAATTTGTTTTAATTAAGTTATCGAAAATTGATAAAGGGTTTGTTTGTGGTCGAAACACATTTACAGCTGGTGCATGGCGATGTCATTGATTGTTCTTCGTAGATTGTACATCGTAGCAGCCATTGTATGCCGTTGTTGTTCTGAATATGGAGCACTCTAGCATTTTAAAAATAATTTCACACAGATCAAATGACAAAATATGTAATTTTGATAAGTAAAATTATTAAATAAATATTTGCATAAATTAGTGCTTAAAATATTTTTCATAAATATTTGAATCCTACTCTGATTTTGGCAAAGAATAGTTAGCTGGCGGCAAATATTTTACAAACACAAACCTAAATATGACACCATTTATTTTTTTTTTTAATTGTAAATACGATTCTTTAAAAAAAAAATAACTGAATTGAGCTTCTCCCTTTTTTCACATTGTTTAATAAATTAAATAAATATTTTCTTACCGAAGAAATTTGTAAACAATTAAAAAAGTTGATTTTTTCAAAACATTTCCGGAGCACACTGTACACTATATATAGATGTGCGTGTGTGCATAATTCGGCCTGACACACGGTGTGCCAGTGCCATGGCACACCACCGCAAAGGTGGCAGGCAAATTGAAAATTTGCGGTAACAAAATTTTTACAACATAAATTTTCAATTTAGACCATCAACTTGCGAAGTGTTCGTGTGTCGACACTTGATTCCGAAAGGTAATGGAGTTGAGCCGAACGACAAACAAGCAAATAATATTAATTCCTCTGTCAACATTAGCACCTCTGTCCCTGCGGAAAATGTCGCAGACACGGCAGCCAAAACCCAATATCGCATTAACAACAAAAGGCCCCAGGCTTAAATTTACCCAAATTCTATTAAATTTGTAGACAATCATTTGGTCGCACCTTAAATTGAAATTTAACAATTTATGTTCAATTTTAATTTCTGTCCTTGGCAGTGCCTGCTACAACACATCGGCCCCGAATGCTATTCATAAATTATGTTGTCAGAATTTGGCAACATGTCGATGGAGCGAGCGGTGGCAGGAGTCGACAACGTTCGCCCTGGGCAGTCAGGTAGTTAAACTGGTAGTTTATTATGTTAACATGGCTTCCAGCGTTGGTACTTAATAAGGTGTATATGTCACTACAAGCCCGACACAGTTGCATGCAATCAAAAACAATAAAATAATATAACAAAATTTTAATTACATATTAAATACAGAGCCGATGGATGCTCTCTCTCTCTCTCCGCCCATTGAGAGTGGAGCGAACACACACTCACACACAATGGGATTTCATTTTATGGCTGCTGTGTGTGTGTGGATCGAGGCGAAAGGTTACGCCAGTGGGGCGTTCAATACACAACAATATTTTGTGTCAAAATATTTCATGTCTTGGAAGGGGTGGTGGGAGCTAGGCCCACAAGCGGAAAATATCAAAGAATAAAAAACGAATGAAAGAATAAAAGCAGAAATAATTATTATCCAAAAAATAGCATTCCAGCAAAACAATATTTGATTGTTTCAACAAGAAATAGTAAAACAATGTTTTATTGGTAAAATAGCTTCTCTGAAATAAAACGAGGATTACAAGAAATAAAACACGGAAAATATGAATAGAATAATTCATCATGGTTATATTTGTGACTCTTTATTTCAAAACAACCAATTTACCTTCAGTGGTTGTTGATAGGAAAGTTGCCGAGGAGATGCCTGTGGTGTCTATCTGCATCCGCGAGTGACTGGGTTCGGGAAGTTGTGGTGGAACGCGTCAAACTTTTACAGCATGGCAAATTAATTTTTATACCTTACACCATACATAGTATGTAGGGAATATTAAGTTCGACATTCCGTTTCTAACTGATCGAATAATTCTAAGACGATTTTGCACCGATCTGTCTTTTATCTGCAGGCAGGTCAAGTTCGAAGATGGGCTATATCGGTCCACTATATCGTATATACCCCATATAACTTGCCTCCCGACTTTCGGCATTTTAATGATTTTAGTCACATTTTTCAATGGCATTGTCTAAAATTCTACACAAGGAGTTCTCTGTGAGTATTTGACACAATGAAAGATATTTTTTATATGAGTCCACGATTTCGTATAGGCTCCATACAATGGGTATTTTGATGATATTAGCCACATTTTTCAATGGGTCAGTTCGTTACTACAGCCTATCATAAAAAAATTACTTATCCAGCACCACGTCTGCGAAAAGCCCCCATATAAAGGTTTTCATTTGAGTGGTATTTTTTGACGAATTTTTTTTAATTTTTTAAGTTCCTTCCAAATGGTAGAGGGTATAAAAATTTCGACCCGGCCAAACATAAATACTTTTTTACTTGTTTCTTATTGGTTTTCCGATATAGTTCAAAATTTAATTTTTAATTTTTTAAGTTCGGGAATTTTCGAAATTTCGCATTAAGAGTTTTGGAAGTTCACAAAATTTTACAATTAAAGTATGTGCAACATGCTATCTCGATAACCAATTCTAAAAATTCATTCATTAAAAAACCCTTATGTATTCTCGCCTTTAGCATTCGGTATACTTAGCTATCCTGTCCTAAATGAATAACTTTTAAATTTAAACCAATTTTAAGTTGTTTTTCCAATTTATTACCTTTAGGATAATGCGACACTGTTCTACTTATGCCTAACCATGATTAGAATTTACCAATCTTAAACAACAACATTACCTTATTCCTTATCTCTGATGAGCTATTTTTAGCAACATATGTCGTTTGTTACTTTAACACAATATTTTTTATTTTATTATTTTTTTTATTCATATCATCGTCAGTCGATCTGTTATCGTTCATATGCCCGTACTAATATTGTTGTTCTGCTCTCTATTCTACAATTTCAGCTCTCGAATTCAGATGCCACATCGGTCACATTGAAGGGCGTTACCCGCGAACTAACGGGCAGCTATCAGTGTGAAGTGTCCGAGGATGCCCCGCTCTTTCACACAGATATCCGGTCGGCTCACATGCAAGTCATTGAATTGCCGAAAGATGATCCTACGATGCAGGTGGAGAAGAAAATCATAACCGCCAATGACTATTTTAAGGCAGTCTGCACAATTGGACCCTCATATCCGGCGGCAAACATAACGTGGTACATAAACGGCAGAAAGGTGTGTATCTATCAGTAGGATGGAATCCGTTTAGCAATATTTTGAGATTCAACCACTTGACCTTGAGTATTGACTTATCTTTTCTGTTTTTTGCATGTGTTCAGGTCTACAAAACACCCTTTCAACGCATTACACAAACAACCAGTGAAGGTTCCGGTACTGTGTCGTCCCTAGATATCTATCCACACAGTCAAGTGCTGCAGGGATTCTTCCAAGCCATGCCAAAATACCAGACCAGTATACTGCTGCTTTGTGAAGTCTCTATTCTGCACGTCTTTCACAAAAATGTCCAACAGCGTATCTTCCTGAGCATTGGACCACCTACGACTATATCGCCAAATCTTTTGGGGCTGGAGGGTTCGAAACGCATGAACGGCGACCCAGACAATTCTGCGCTGACCGGCAGGGGGTCGAAACAGGCATCAACGTTCTTGCCACTGGCACTGATCGTGGGATTTGTTGCGAGTAATATTCTGCTGAGCAGAGGGAGAACGGCCGTTCTCGGTGTGGCGCCAGTGGTAACGGCACAACGCTCTCTTCAACTGTGACCAAATGACAATTATTTATAAATGCTGAAATCACATAAATAAAATTTATAGAATTTTCTGTTAAAATAAGTAACACGTTTACTCACACACATACACACTGTCACACAAATAAACTCAATAAAAACAATTTAATAATTATAATAAAATTATTGCATTTTGCAAAAAAAAAGACAGAAAACAAAATAAAATAACAGCAACAAAAACTATATGATAAGTAAACAATAACATGACAAAAACAAAAAATAACAATCCATAGATAATAGGCAACCGTAAACACACACACACCTACATACATACACACAAACACACAGAAAACACTCATACAAACACTCAAGCATATGCAAAGCATTGTTAAAACTCGAATTCGATCTGGGCAAATCGATTGGGAAATAGCAACAACAACAACAAAACGAGTCAGGTGCCAGAAGTCCGACGTGGTAAATAAACAATCGCCAGATAAACTTTTTGTTTATGTTTAATAAATAAAACGTACAATACTGGACAAAAAAATAAAAACTGTTTATTATTATTATTTTATTAAAATGTTGAAATTGTTTAATTAAATTTTATACGGCCAAGGAAAAAAAGCGCAAAAGCAAATAAAATTATGATAATTTTGACATATGAATATTGGTTTAACATAAAAAATCGCACACATTTACACACACACGCGTACATCCGTACCAAAACATAAAATCAACAAACACCAGAGAGCTACAACTGTCACAAGCATAAGTAAATAATTGAAACTAAAGTGCCCTACTTAAAGTTGGTTTAGTGAAAAAAAAAATCGAAGAGAATAAAAGTCGAATTGTATCGACATCGAAAAAAGAATCTCAGATTAATGTCAATTTCGAGTGTTACAAAATATATTTCTGCATTTTAAATTCTGAATTCTATAGAATATGTAGAGTCTTTAAGTCTTTAGCTCGGATGATGTATAGTTCATTTTAAATATACATTTACTTTAAACACTTTAAAATATACATTAAATAATTTTGAGTACAAATGACGAAGATGATAGATTAATTCCTTGTGAAGTTATCTCGTTTCATATGAGACCATCCGGACGCTGTCTATACAAAGTTTTTATTGTTATTATTATTGTTATTATTATTATTATTATTATTATTATTATTATTATTATTATTATTATTATTATTATTATTATTATTATTATTATTATTATTATTATTATTATTATTATTATTATTATTATTATTATTATTATTATTATTATTATTATTATTATTATTATTATTATTATTATTATTATTATTATTATTATTATTATTATTATTATTATTATTATTATTATTATTATTATTGTTGTTATTATTATTATTATTATTATTATTATTATTATTATTATTATTATTATTATTATTATTATTATTATTATTATTATTATTATTTTTAAATTTTGTGCAATCGTTGCTTCAAAGATTCTACCATTCGATTATAAGATGCTACCATGCGATTTAACCGAAATAGGGCACTTGCATTTTCAATTATTCGCTTATGACGGCTGTTAAATAAAACTCATCTGTCACAAATGACTTTTTTATGTTAATTACATTTTTACTAATATTTAAAGTAAATAATAAAAATGAAAAATGGTGTTCAAATGTAAAAAAAAAAACTGCAAAACAATTTAAGAGTGAAAATGTGGAAAACAATGTAAAAGAAAAATGGAAACTAATTATAAGCATAATTACACTCAAAAAGGAAAAAACTATAGAAAAATAAATAAATAAATATAGCAAAAAAATAATAATAAAGTAAAATGAGTATTTTATTACATAAGATAATGTATATAAACAAAAAATTGTAAAAAAAGACAAGCCACAAAATTATGACATCAATTTAATGAATAACTTAATTGGCTACATACACACACATCTCTATCCTACATCTCTATCTACACATCTCTAGCTACATACTCACAAACAGTTACATAACAACTGCCTCATAGTTTACCTAACAATTGCCATGCAAGCAGATACAATCGATGGCCATATATTATTAAATGCAATTCGAATTCATTCATTTGCATTTTGTTGTGAACCCCAAAATCTATCCCATTTTTTGGGTGATGTTTAAACATTAATGTCGTTGTCCTTCTACGACCAATGTAAATTTATAATAATTTCAATATTTATCACATGCCACGGAAAAGATACTCTTCAACTTCTGACCTCAAATTAAAAAAAATATTTTTGAATCAAAAAATTTTTTTATACTTGATCAAAAAGAAATGACTGGGTTTGGAAGTAAATTTGTCCACAAAACTCACCTATATTTGGAAAAATTTATTGCCAGCTAAGTTTTAATAATATTTTCAAAAAATTCTCACCCGAATGACTTCGAAAGTCTAGTTTGTTTCAATTTTCAAAACGCTCCTGCTATTAGGTGTCTTTATATGTCTATGGCCATCTTTGGAAAATAAAATCTCAAATTAATTTAATTTGCAACACCGCCGTCACATTACATTTCCACACACACACACTCCAGAATCGATCTTCCAGAAGATCCCTCAGCCATTTTGTAAAAACCTCCACCTCCACGATATTGTAAAAAAAAGTCCAACAAGTAGACATAATAAATCACTAAGTGTTGTTATATGTTTTTGTGTACAAAGTATTACCGATTAAGTCATTTGTAGGGAACGTTCCGTTCGAAGCCATTAGTTTAATTATACATGTTATTCAAATGTGTGTATATTTAGGAGAACCAAAACAAAAACCATAAACGAACAAACACACACGGACATTGAACATTAAGAGATTTATAAAAATAAAAAAAATTGCATTTAATTTTTAGCTTTTATGTTTCTACCGAACAATGTTAACTATAGACCGTATTTCGTATAAAACATAAAAATCAATTACTATATAAAACTTACATATACAGATATATAGCAAATAACTTAAGGCATTTAATTATACGTAATTTTACCTAGACACAAACGTGGTAAAATAAAAACTAACCCAAAGCAAAAACAAAAAAAGGAAAACGGAAAACAAAATCAAATTGTTGTAAACTTAAAAATCAAACAGAATTCAGTACCGAGGAAGAGATTCTGTCGGTAAATGTAAATTAAAAAAAAAAACACATTAAAACAAAAACTATACTAAAGAGCTACAGGTAACATTAAAAATATTAACAATAAATTAGACAAAAAAATACTTAATTATGGAAATTTAGAATAATAAGAGGTAAACATGAATGAATGTGTCTCGCTGGAGACGAATTTCGGCCACGCAATACAATGTAACGAAATTCAAATAAAAAAGGGCAAGGCACACCTCCCTGTGCAGAGCGAAAACCAAAAACGCAAATCAATTACTACATTTACGTCAGGCGCAAAGACAAGACAAACAATGAAGTGACAAAACCTCCCACATTACACGTAAAGAGAATTAAAAATAAAGAAAATAAATTAAAAAAATAAATAAATTTTATATTTGACTTTTTGTTATTAAAAAGCAATGATTTTGTTCTGTTATTTTTTAGTTTAGCTGCTTAAAGTGGTTCGAAAGTAAATACCTAAAAAAATGGCATGTTTAATTTCGAGATTTGTCAATGATAATGTGCAAATAATATTTAATAAAACTAAACAAAAAAGTGAAAACAATTTATATGTTAAACGGAAAATACAATAAAATCAAAAGTAAATAAAAGTATAATTATATACAAATAATTTGAAGTTATATTGTTTTATTTTCCATGAAGGTCCTTTACAACTCGAAGGTTGTTTGATTGTCTCAACGGGTAATTTCTGTGTGTTTGTCCAACTGCTGTGAGACGACATAATACATGTTGTGGAACGAGTACTTCAACGGCTTTAGAAAACTTAAAATATCCAAATGCCAAGTGTGCTAATAAAGGAAACATATTTTTATACCCTCCACCTTGGAAAGGAGGGTATATTAAATTTGTCCTTCCGTTTGTAACATCCCTAAATATTCGTCATAGACCCCGTAAAGTATATATATTCATGATCGGTACAAAATTGTATGTCGATTGAACGATGTCCGTCGGTTGAACCCACGATACAGCACACATTATTTGAAGTAGAGATTTAAGATTCGGCACAGTTGTTGGTATTATTATGATGATAATCAGATATCGGTCCACGTTTTCTTATATAAATGTACCACCTCATATTTAATGATTTTTAATACATTCTTTCACGGATTTTTCTAAAAAATGGATTTGTCTAAAAATTTGTTCTTCGAAATGGGTTTTAGCTCCGTTGGCGAAACATTGTACAAATAATTTTCGGTATTTTGGTGGTTTTATCCACATTTTCCACGGATTTGTCTAAACGCTCCAATGGCAGAACATTGAATATTTAGGGCCACGTTCTCTTCTTCTCCCACCAATCTTATTGGCGTCTGTAGTTTAACGTGGATTCAGATATGTTTTTATATTAACTAATGGTGGAGGGCATTCAATGTTCGGCCCGGGCGAACTTAATGTCTTTTTACTTAATCAGTTAGTTTAATTCAATCACACCCTTTCATTTCACCATATCCGCCATAAGATGAATGTTGTACTAGATTTATTGCAAATCGGGATCTATGGAGAAAACGCGTTTTTCTCTATTGTGCGGTTGTAATGCACTAATTTATTATTAAAATTACCCACGATAATATGGTCAAAAACACGCATATAAGGTAAGTAAACATGCTTATCAGTTTACAGTCTATGCTACATCTCATTGTCTAACACACCGCATGTAGCAACGAGAAATTCTATATTTTGTATTTCTAATGATTCGTAGCCCTGCTCGCCACACATATTTGAAGTTGCCTGTATTAAAGAGAACCCTGTTTAACAAAAACCTCACTCTACTAAACTAAGTGGCCCGCTATTTTTAAACCCTCAGCCATATGGCTAGAGAGGGTATATATCATTTGATACGGCCAAAACGTGCCTCATCGGAAAGAAACGTGCCTAACGGTTTTACACCCTAGGTCTCTTTGGACCAAATCCGTTGCAGGATATTTGAAGTCGATGTAAGGGTATCCGTTCGTCTGTCAGGCTGGATGGTACAAACGATAACTTTCAAAGGGAGTATCCGACTTGGACCAAAAAATCGGAAATCATAATTCGACTAAAGTCGAATTCGGAGATGGGCAATATCAGACCACTCCTTCTGGTACCTCCCTCACAAATCGACCGAAAATATTAGAGGCAAAACAAGTAAAAAAGCAGTTAAGTAATTTTGGAAAGTAACTCAGGGTTATTCGTCATTTCTGTTATAGGGAACATCCAATCCAACCATGGTGCAAAAACGGTGTCTACAATTATCAATAGGGGATATAGGATAATGCTGCTTATAAAGAAAGTGTTATATATCAGCAGAAAACCCCATTACGGAATACAAATACCTAGTTTTTACTATTCCAGAAGAAAATGTGGCTGAAATCGTCAAAATGCCGAGTATGGCGTGGTACAATTATATGGGGGCTATACGAAAACGTTGACCGATATGGCTCATCTTCGAACTTGAACTGACTGCAGACAAAAGACAACTTTATGCAAAATTTTACCTTCGTAATACATGTCGTTTGGACTCTAGCGTGATTAGAATAGACGGAAATCGTCTTAGAATTTTAAGCCGATAACGAATATAATATATTTTTTCGATGAGTTAAAAACGAAATGGCAAACTTATTATACACTCCGTACTATATATGTAGAAGGTACAAACATGGTATTCTGTGAACGATGAAATACAAAGAATACAAGAAAATAGACATAAATTATTTGAAAGGACAAAAAGCAAGACATTAGGAAAAGCAATTTGTACGACCAGGCTTATCGAGTGGAAACCTTAAAATACCAAAAACAAAGATCGGGATACACCGTTATATAGATCGATCTAGATACCTAAAACTTTGGTAATGTCCACATTATGATTGATGGAGTTAAAATGGGGTATGGGGTCTCTACTCATCTAAATGATGATGATGACTAATAAAATAATCAAAATCGGACCTAACACTGCCCTTAGCGACTTGATTGGAACATTCTTTTTAATAACATCCTCAAATAATAAGAAGACCGTGCAAATATATTTTGGTTGGTAGTAGATAATCTATTAGACCTAACTACATTGCTCGAAATGTAGAGTCTTTATTTCGTGGAGATTTTGCATATCTCTTTTAATATTGAATAAGTCAGTAAATTTAATTGGAATATAGAATCCATTTATATTCAATTTTTTTTCAATTGTAATATGAGATTGTGCACATTGACATTTTAAGTGTGTATGCATTTTGCATATTTTTTGAAAAAAAATATGCCTTATACCTATATTGTCCTTCGATCGAAACAATTTACAAACAAATTAAGATTTTTAGCATAATTTCATTCAATTTCTTAAACATTCCCAATTCAAAAAAAAAAAATAAAAAAAATTATGAACTTTTTTGAAATGACATTTTTTTTTTTTTGCTTTTGACAAAAAAAGACAGGTTCTGAGTCTGTGTGCTGAATTTTGTTCTGGATGATCACAAAGTTCACTCAATCTCTCCGTAATTATTTAATATTCGAATTTTGCGATAAAAATTTAAATTTATTATTGAAAACAAAAGCAATTTTCGATTAGCAAATATTGAATAACTACATGCCGTGCTATTTTAGGATTTTAATTATATTTCCGACAGAATTCATCGAACTTTTGTCTTTGATGTTTACTTGCGAACACATGTCCATAATTGTAATGGAATTTTTTTAATGTAGTTAATGTTGTTTTTTATGCTTCATGGCTTCACGGACTACTGCCATCTGTCTAGACGACAGTTCATTTGAATGTGCTTCAGTGCATAAATAAAAGAAGAAGAAGAATTGCAAGACGCTCTGTGCATCACGTCCGATAATGTATGACTCAAAGGTGAACGAAGAACGAAAACATCCACACATTATCTTACCATATGACAGTCATTGTTGCGCTCTGTCTTGTGACTGCTGCCTCGATTAGGTGTGTTCTGAAGGTTACAGGGCGATAACGTTGTCGCTCAAGAACAGCCCACGGTATAAATAGACGATTTGATGCTGCATCCCAGCATGAGTTCTCAGCATGAAGTCAATCGCTGCGGTCGTTTTCCTTGGAGTGGCTCTGGTCTCATTCGGCAGTTCCAGGCACCTGGAGTCAAAGGTAGCTGATAGGGATTTCTTGGTGAAGCAAACATTTTTCTTGGACATCCTTCAGCATATCTATCAGGACGATGTATTTGTGAAAAAGTATGGGGATACCTATGTCGACTACAAACCTTGGGACCATCTGAGCGATTTTAAACATTCCGAGGAGTTGGCGAGTTTCTTCAGTCTTTGGCAACACCATCCGGTGCACGACGATGAAGTGTTCTCTCCCCTGGATCAGCGCTATGTAGATTATGCCCACGGTTTGGCCAAGGTCTTCTACTATGCCAAGGACTGGTTGGCGTTTACGCACGCTGTCTACTGGGCTCGCATGCATGTGAACAAGCAACTCTTTGTCTACTCCTTGACGATTGCAAGTCTCCATCGGGACGATCTGTATGGCATATCGTTCCCATCGATCTATGAAATTTTCCCTTGGCACTTCTTCGGCGCAGAAACACTGGAAGTTGCAGAACGTTACAAGTTGCATGGTTTCCACAATGTCAAAAAACTTGACAACGTCTTCAATGTCGTGGTCAAGTCCAACTACAGCAATGTCTTTGGAGATGTCAACTACGCCCACTCGCTGGCCTATTTTACAGAAGACATTGGATTCAATGCATTCTATTACTACTACAACATCGATTATCCCTATTGGATGAGGGGTGTCCCTGGCAAGGAACTTGTTAAGGACAAACGCGGTGAGTTGTATCTGTATCTGCATCAACAGCTCTTGGCCCGCTACTACCTGGAACGTTTGTCCAATGATCTGGGTGAAATTCCGCCATTTAATATGTACGAAGAATATGAGCACGGCTACTTCAGCAATCTGCGGTATTATCAAGGTGTCGGTTTCCCCGATCGGGCCAACAATTATAATTTTTATCATCGCGAGAACTATGACATTGTCAGAGATATTCACTTCTATACCACCCGTATTGCCGAGTACATCGACACCACCAGCGATGATTACCGCACGGCTGTGGAGAAATTGGGCAACATGTTGCAGGGCAATGCCGCCTCTGTTGACCACAAAAAGTACGGCAGTCTGGACATTCTGTACCGTGATTTGGTTAATGAGGGCCGTCCATATGGCAGACATGGCGAAAATTTGCCGGCAATTCTGATGCAGTACGAAACTTCATTGCGCGATCCAATCTTCTACTCCATCTATAAGGACATAATCAGCTATTACTGGCGTCTGGCAGCAACATTCCCTGAATATAAATACGACGATTTTGTCTTCAACGAAGTGTCCATCAAAGACGTTCATGTTCCCGAGAGCCTTTTTACATACTTCGATTATTTCGATGCTGACATCAGCAATGCTGTCAATGTGGAGGGCGTTACGGGTGATGTGTCGTCCGACTATCTGTACCAATTTGGTCGTAACAGTGTTCACAATGGTCAAAGTTTTGTCATTAAGGCCCGTCAATTGCGCTTGAATCACAAACCCTTCGAATACACATTAGATGTCATATCGGACAAAGACCAAAAAGCCGTTGTTAAGATCTTCATAGGTCCGAAATATGACGAAAATGGTCGGAAATTGCACTTGGAGAACAACTACATGAATTTCTTTGAATTGGATCACTATGTTGTGGACTTGGTGTCAGGTGTGAATCAGCTAAAACGTAAGTCCGAAGATTTTGGATACTGGATTGAGGACCACACCACCTACGTCGAACTGTACAGAAAGGTGTTGAGTGCCAGCACGTCGGATTATAAATTCCATCTCAATCAACAAGAGGCCCATTGTGGTGTTCCGAAACGCATGATGTTGCCCAAGGGCAAAAAGGGCGGCCTAGCCTTCCAATTCTTTTTCATGGTATTCCCCTATCATGCCCCCGAAGTGGAACAGTACTCCACCTTTGATCCCATCGCCAGCTGCGGCATTGGTTCTGGAAGCCGGTATGTGGATGCATTACCATTTGGATTCCCATTCAACCGCCCTGTTGTCCATGACTATCACTTCGATGTTCCAAACTTTAAATTCCACGACATTAAAATCTATCATAAAGAAGATCCCGTCAATGTGGTCTAGGAGTGGTGTAAGGTGTGCAATTATTTAAAAAAATGCAGCATAAATGTTTTCAATAAAGCAATCATAAAATGTTTTTGGCTCAGATTTTATTTACGTAATTTGTAACATAGAGACCTGTATATGTACGAACATTGATGTAACATTATTCTTGGTATTTTGAACGAATACATATGTTATCTAAGGACAAACCCTATTGAAATTGGTGGTGGTCTTCGCACGATTTCGCAGGAGTTTATAGAGCGCCATAAGATCGAAATCAGCCTAGATGTTACATCTATAACTCCTACAAATACCTTTCATCCGGTTGAATATATAAGTTACCCAAAGTCGTAATAGGTATGCACAATGGGGTTTGATACATGATACAACCTATAAATATATCTGTCAAATTTTTTCGAATTTTGTTTTTTTAGGCAAGTAAAATGGGCTATAGTCGAGCAGGGTAAACTATGTCACACTCTACAACACTAGAATTTCTATAGATCAATATTGGAATTCATAAGTGGACTACTCAAAAAATCAAGGGTCGCTCCCTGAATAGAACCAAAACGGTATAGGCAACCGTTTTTATACTTTCAAACATATAGCTATCATCATTCGTTACGACCAAAACGTGCCTCATCGAAATAATGGTTATAAACCCTAGGTCTCTTTGGACCAAATCCATTTCAAGACATTTGGAGTAGGTCCGTCTGTCTGGTGCCCGCGATAACTCTGGAAGAGAGCATCCTATTTGATTCAAACTTGTGCATCGTAATATTATTGTCAAACTTAGACCCCCGTAAAGGGTCAAAGGTTGGATAATCATAACGCAAGTCAAAATATATTTAAATAAACGAACAGTGGCTGAGGGTATATATCTGTGGAAAAAATCGACAGATACTTTTTAACTTGTCCATAGTATGGAGTGTATGTTAAGTTTGCCATTCCGTTTGTAACACCTCGAATTATACATTTTAAACCACCACAAGGTACTTTTGGTATTTATAACCTTCATACATTCGGCATTTTGAAGATTTAGGTAACAATTTTCATAGGAATTGTTCCAAATTTGGTATTTCACCTGGATTGTTTCCTAGGATCAAAATTCAGATTTTATTTTTGGCCCCACGTATATCGGTGCCTTCCTATATTCGGAATTTTGATGATTTAGATATATTTTTTAGATATATTTTAAACTTGGTGTTTGATGTTCGTAAATGGCACCACCACTTTTAGTAAACGACACTATTTTTTACATTATGCAAGATCCTTTCAAATGGTGGAGCATGACCGGCCGGCTACTTTTTTTTCGTGTTGTGTATAATAATCTCCACGTGATAAACATATTAATTTTATTCCAACTTAATCTAAAATAATTAAAACAAGTAAGCAAAGGCTATAGTCGTGCGGGGCCGACCATGTGATATCCTACAACACTCCAATATGTTCGAAGCCCCCTTATGTCCAAATCCATTTTGGAAGATTTCGTTTTTGAAATAATGTCAAAAATAATGTCCCTGTCCTTAACTCTCTCCTGATACGATATTCCGTTTTCAATTGTGGCTTGTACAGCGGCTACAAAATTGGAAAAAATTTTAATTTGTTAGTCCATTTGAATTTAGAGCAGTAGGCATTAATTCTGACCCTAACCTTACCCCAATGAAAAATTTTGTGAGGATCGGACGATAATTGCGATATTGGAGATATATACTCTCAAAACTTAGTGTCGCGGGGTGTAAAAATTTAGAAAAATTACAATTCAAAATTGTAAGTCAAATTGAAAAAATCGCATGCGATAAAAAATATGACAAAAATTGAAAAAATGGAACAAAAGATATTGGTATACTTTTCCGAGTTTTTTTTTTTAGATTTTATCCATTTCTGGCAAGAAACCATTCCGAATTGATGGGAATTGTGAAAATGGGCCCAGCGGTTCTTATCTTATAAGCAGAATAAATAAGATCTATTCTTTTAAATATATATTGTAACTTTTTTGCTATATCTGCGATTTCTTGGCTATCAGCATCACTTATATGGTCAGAAGTGACCTTTTATTGTATTTGTGATTTGGCTGGGACTAAAAATATTCGCGGTTTAGTTGAAATTTTCCTATTTTCTTACATAAAAGTTAGGGTCTATTTTACCAGCTAAATATTGTCCAATGGCCCAATTGGTACGCTTCTGCCCAGACCTAAACTCAAACTCTATGTAAATTTCCGCGTCGATTGGTTTATAATTGCAAAATCAGGAAAATGTTCTGTTTTTTGGTCCATTTCAACCCCTTAACATTTTGCCATCATCTCAAAAAACATAATTGCGACTTGTAGAGTGATTAAAAATTAACATGGACATAGCTAGATCGACTCAGCTTTGCGAAATAGGAAGATCCATATATGCTATCCTATGTAGGAAACCAATTTTTCGTGGTGTTACATAATTTGTGGCCCAATCAAACTTATAATACTACCTAAAATATAAATTAAAAGTCAAATACAAGACAAATATAGTTTTGGATAGATTTGAATAATAATAATTTACTTCACATGAAATTGTCCTAACTTTAAATTTATACAAAAAGGATCTCAGAACGAAACACAAAATTAAGTTTTGAGTTTGCTAAGATTGTCTTCTATCCTTCCAGAATGTCATAATTATTTTTCCTGAAAATGGCATTTACAAAAATTTTGCATATGTGTATTTTGCATTTGCAACTCTTACCCGAAATTTTCTATAAACTATCAATCACTCACATGCGAATTTTCACAAGCATACCTACAGACATACCAACGAAAATTGATGGCCCAATTAATAGCCGTATAACTGATAGCATTATTTTTGACAGCTTTTCGCGTTCATACTTTACAATTCTGTTTATTTGCATTACTAAAATTTCTTGTAATCGGATTTGATTTGGGTTTTGGATTTCGGACAAATCACATAACATTATGCGGCAATGTGCGTGTTTCAAATTATTGCCTTGTTGATGATGCTTGCAACATTCTGTGGGGATTTATGATATGACATTGTTTCAATAAAAATAACATTATTTGAACAGTGGTCAGAGATAGCTGACGATGATGATGATTCCCTCCGCTTTTTGCATTCATAGGCATTACGATTATAGATAAATTCAGATTAAATCAGGGCACAAATGGCGATTCTTTTCTAATATATGCTAGCCCAATTGATAATATCTCTTATACCAGAAAAATAGGAATGAGGCTTGTAAAAAATCCTTAACAAGATGTACATCTTAACTTCAATGGTTATTTTTTTAAGCTTTTCAATTCACCAATTGTAAGATGTTTTAACTCAAAGAGGATCCAGATAGAAAATTAATAAATAAATTAATATTTTTTTATCTACTCTCAATAATAACCACTTCTGTCACACTGTGCTCCTGACTCACTTTAATATAAAATGCAAATGTTTATTGTCTAACCAAATTCCCGAAAACAACACAAAATGTTAATGCCAAAGCAGGGCTGATTGTTGCCAGAAAGCCAAAGAAAACGCAACGTCGAACAAACGTCACAGAACAATAAAATGCTTAAACTGCATAAAATCGGCAGCAACGTTTGCACCCGGCTTAGTGAGAGACTCCAAGAGCTGCTTCCAACAGCCAGGAAACGGAAATCAGGAGGAGATTTTAACTGCATTGCAAATGTTCCATTTAGGATGTTAGCCATAAACGCAGGCACGGCATTGAGGAAACAAAACGAAACGAAACATCAGCAGGGTAGAAGAATTCGTGTTACTTGTGCTCTGTGAGCTTCAATTGATGTCTTAAATATTTATGGCCATTTCATGGCTGCCACTGTCGGCGGGCTACCACGGGCGTTGTGGCAACTCGGCTGTGGCATGAAAATGATATGGCGTCATCTAATTTGGCGACATATTTCCCATTTCCCCCCCCAAATGCTGTTGTGAGCAGCACTGTGTGCCCAAATGCTGGCGGGCCAAGACAAGACAACGAACGAATTAAGAAAATTTGTTTAGTATGTGGACAAATAAGAAGAAACAAAAGAACAACAACTACAACAAACCCCTTCCAAGATATGGTGTGTGTGTGTGTGTGTGGAAATTTATATCCAATGGAGACTTATATAAGAGACAGTGTAGATAAAGGATGTTGTAATCTTGGGAAGACATTGCCAAGATGAACGCCCCCTCGATTTATGTTCTGGCCGAGGATGTTTCGACAGTTTTTATATCCGTGTTATTTTTGTATTGAATTTTTGCAACATTGCCGCATACGCCTACGAATGATACAACATTTGTAGCAAATAAATTATTATGACATTAATAAATTTTGCTGTCCCCTATCCGCCAAGCCCACTTGGCTGTGTGGGGGCAAGTAGGTTTTCTAAAGCTTGTATTGTTTTTTTGCTCTTTTCTTGTATATTTTTGAGACAAATCATTATACAGGATTCTACAAATTGTTCTCATATACCACAGGAAAAAGGCTATTTTTCCAATATATAAGTATACAATTTATAAATATTCGTAAAATAGGGAATATCGCTCAATTAACCGGTACCGTTTAGCCTTTTAATGCTTTTATTGCCGAATTAATTTTATAGAATTAACAATTTTTAGAAATCATTTAAAATCAATAAGTTGTTGTAAACTTTTTTTGTCGTACTCCTAAGATGATTGATAGTATTGAAATTTCCCCATATAGTAGTCCACATCTTTAAAAGTCAACAAAGATCTCCGTTTGGACATAGGTGCTATAAAACGTCATCCTGTTGATTTTAGTTATATTATCATTAAGGGAATTTTAAATGGTTCAAGCTTTAACATTGCTTTTGTACCGATCGTATTTATTAATTGACAGATATATACCCTCAGCCAATGTTCGATTATTTGATAAATTTTTACTTATAGAGGGTCATCAATTTGAATGATCATAACATTCAAATTGATGACCCTCTATGTAGTAGGTTCCGAAGGAATGTGCCAATATTTTTCATTTCGTATCGGATCTGAATAAATGTGATATAAATACTGCCTTCATATCTAAGGTACCAGATATAGTCGACGGAAGTATTCCATTTGCACACAATTACAAGAAAATCGAACATTTAT